GGAACAAGAGAGGAAAGTGCCTCTTCCCATGCAGAGGATCTAGAATGGCTTCACAGAGGATGTGATGTTTAAGCAGAGCCTTGACATGGTGTTCACCAGAGAGATGAGAGATGAGGAGAAAAGGACTAAGGATCCCAGCAGAGGGAATGAATACCATGAGCAGAGGCCTGCAGGCATGAAGGTGTACAGTATGTTCAGGGAAGGGGCAGCATCTAGCATGGCTGGATTTGAGGGGAGGAGTCTGGGTACCAGTGGCAAAGACATGAGCTCAGTCCCTGGCTTCTTATACCTCAGGCCACACCGACTCCATTCAGACCATGTTAAAAGCATCTTGGACGGTCTGGGAAGGCATTTTAGAGAGCACCTAAGTTAAGACCTGAAGGGTGAATTGAAGGTGACCAGAAAAGGAGGAATGAAAGGTAAAGGGATGAAAGTTCCAAGCAGAGAGAACAGCCGTGCAAAGGCCTTAGAAGTGAGAGGGCAAGTCCTGAAAAGGCAGCTCCCTTTGTCTGGCTGCAGCGTAGCTTTCCAGGAGGTTAGATAGGAGGCTAGATAGGAGGCATGTGAGGCAGAGGTAGGCCAGGTCATGGTACTCTCTCCTGGTAATTCCCCTAGAAATACTTCATCTCAGCAGGCAAAGCTTTTAGGATTCTGTCTCCCATCTCCCTTTTCAGCCTAAATTCTGGTGCCTTTGCATATGCTATTCTAAGTGCCTAGAATCACAATGATGATGATAACAATAACAATAACATTTGTTGGGCCCTTTAGAATATTAGGTGTTGTGTCAATCATTATTTCATTGAATAACAGTGACATCAACAATGGCCTGGGTTGGAACATTTTAAAGGATTTCTTTTTTCTTATTGGACTTTATTTTTTAGAAGTTTTAGATTTACAAAAAAATTGAGAGGATATTACAGGGAATTTCCACATATCGGCCACCCAGTTTTCCCCACTAGTACCATCGTATGTTAGTATATTCATTATAATATCATTATTTATTGATGGATACTTTTTATTGACACAGTAACTAAAGTCTATAGTTTATTAAGATTTCTGTAGTTTTTACCTAATGTCTCTTTTCTGTTCCAGGATCCCATCTAGGATATCACATTACATTTAATTGCTATGTCTCTTTAGGCTCTTCTGGACTGTGACAGTTTCTCAGACTTTCATTGTTTTTGATGACCTTGACAGTTTTGAGGAACACTAGTTAGATATTTTTTAGGATACCTCAGTATTCAAGTTTGTCTGGTGGTTTTCTCATGACAAGACTGGGGTTATAAGTTATTGGAAGACCAGAGAGGTAAAGTGTAATTTTGTCACATAATCTCAAACGTTCATCCTCTTAACATGATTTGTGACTGTTGAAGTTGGCCTTGATCACCTGGCTGAGGTAGTAGTTGCCTAGTTTCTCCACTGTGAAGTTACTTTTTTCCTTCTTTTTTCATACTGTATTCTTTGGAAGGAAGTTTGAATGCACAGCCCACACTTAAGGAGTGGAGAGTTATGCTTCATCTCCTTGACTATCTACATAAATTATTTTGAATTCTTCTGCATAGAGATTTGTCTCTTTCTCTTTTTAAAATTTATTATCTTACTGAACTTCTTAACATTGGGTTGATGACACTCATCATCCCCATTTTTTCTGGAAACTGGAAGGCCTTTCCTTCTTCCCCAGCCCGCTCACCCCAGCTCTAATTTCTGAAGACCTGCACCGCTCTGAGAAAAAGAGTGGCCTCTTCTGTGTTCTCCTTCTCATGCTTGTAATTCCAACTGATTCATGCCACGTTTATGTATTGTGCTCTGTTCTGTGTCAGGCACTGAGCTTGGAACTTGGACCCTGAAAACAAATGATCTACGTGGGTCCTGTCCTCCAGTTGCTCACAGCCTTGACATCTGTGGAAGGCTAGACTGGAAGCGCCATGAGGGCAGGCACTTTGTCCAAATTGTTCTTAGCTGTGCTTCCAGCCCATCAGCAGAGTCTTATAGCAGGTCCTCAATCACTATTTACAAATTGGGAAATGCTTCCTGGAGGATGGCAAACGGTGGCAGGTGATTGCTAATGTGTGTGTCCTTCCCCAGGGACTGGGTGCAGTGCCAGCTTTGACTCATTGTGGTCTAGAGGTTGGGTGGCCCTGACTGTCACAGCAGTCTAGCAGGCGAAAGGATCCAGGGACTAGCCGCCTGGTCAGGTAGAAGTGAAGTTTGCAAGCTGACACAGCCCGAGAGGCCGAATCCGGAGGACCTAGTGACTGATTGGCTGGGGAGGGTGAGGCGGGAGGAGGAGTCACACACAGATGGCTCTGAGGTCTGGAGCTGGGGACAGCCGGTGCCACCTCCGATAGACTCTGCAAGAGAGCCGCTGACAGTCTCTGGAGGCCCCACCCTTTGGGGGCTAGGGCCTAGGGACAGGGAGGGCCGGAGCCTACAGAGGGAGGGGTGGCTCGTCCTGTCCAAACTTTGCCCCCTTCCCCATGTCTTCGTCTTAAAAAAACAACCCTCAGCCTGGATTTTGAGCATGATCGTTGGTTCTCAGGTGTGGGGGCCTATTCTGGGGGTCCCGTCCTGCCTGCCGTCTGCGAAGGAGACCCCCAGGGGCAGCCTGGACCTGCGCGGGGTAGGCCTGGTCTGGGCCGTGGCCTGCCAGGCCCAGGTCCCCAGCCCGCCATCACCTGGGAGGGGGCTGCGAGGCGGCGGCCCGGCCTGGGCGGGACAATGGCCGCGGCCGCCGGGGCCCCGGGAGCCCCTGTACTGGGGAAGGGGCTGGCCTAGGGCCGGGCGCCGGTGCCCTCCCCGCGCGGCTCGGGCGGGCGGAGGGGGGCGAGGAGTTCCTTTGTGGCTCTGCCTCCGGCGCGGCGCGGGCGGGGGGCGCCGCGCAACTTTGCAAGGCGGCGGCAGCGGCGGCGGCGGCGGCGGCGAGCGCTAGACGAGGCCCCGGGGCCAGAGCGG